ATTCCTGAACCCAGCTTGGGCCAACTCAGTACCACAAGTACCAACAGTCCTGTAAGTAAAGGAAACAGGACCCCCTAAGGGCTGCAAACTCCTAGTACGTATTCCATGGCACACAACAGTTACAGTCTTCAGTTTGTGTGAGAAATTAAGCCATTTGCTAACTGGCAGCTCTACAGTCTTCCAAACTCACATGGCATCTAGTGACCAGGAACTTTGCCAGTGAACTAGACTGTCTGGTACACCAGTGTGTGAATCCTGCCTCCACAAGAGCTGCAAGATGAAAAGCTTCCCTTGCAAGGTAGCTGCTGCAGAATGTGACAGTGACAGCCAGATTAGAGATGAAGGGAAGACACAACATCACCTGACTTCCAGTCTGTTCAGCAACATAAATCAGAGGGCTGATGCAGACCTGATCAACAGTTGTAGAACCAGAAATGACACAGATAACATACTCTCAGTAATCAATGTTTCAGTCACAAAAATAATAAAGCAAAGTGATTAAACAATATAATTTTAAATATGCACTGCATAAGGGCAGTATTATATATACAGAAAGTCGTGGGGGGAGATTCTCCCCCACAAAAAATTGCTTCTTTATTTTAAAATCTTCCACAGAGGAACCTTTCACATTTTCAGTATTCACCCAAAAAGATTTTGAATGCAGTACTATCCTTGCTATAAATACAGAACCTGCCAAAAAGATCTCAAGAGTGTACAAAAAGGGAAAAAAAACCAACTGTATTTTGTCTAGTAGCATTGTAAAAGTCTGCTTTGATAACCCTAAAATGAAAAAGGAGAAAAATTAACTTCTTGATAGTGCTACATATTTGAAGCACCCTTCTTTTAACAGTGCATTCTGCATCTACCAAATTAACTAACCTACAAGATAAGGAACTATAGCCTTATTTTTGTTAAAACGATTTGGAAACTTATCTTCAATACTTACTAATGGCAATACCCACTTTGAATCCTACTTTGCATTCAGCTGCCCAATAAATAGCTATTTCACCATTATTATTATAGTTCAGATTTTTTAGGCTCTACTCTTGCTATTAGAACTCTTTATTAGTATTGCTTTTCTGTTACTCTAAACACAGCTTTTGCTTAAAGCAAACCATAGCAACTGCAAAGAAGTTACCTGCACCCCCTAAGCTCAGAGTGAATTGCTGAAGCATTGCTAATTTTGAAGTGGGAGGAGTTGAAGAAATGAGGTCTTTTTATATATAAAGCTTAAATGACTCATGAAAACTCTTCTGGCATAGCTCATTCATGCTTGAGAACAACAACAACACATTTAGCACTGTCCATCACTCAAGTGCTGTATAAACTAGCCCAAGAACATTTGGCCTAACAGGCTGTTTCTGAGAACGGGGAACTGGCTTTTTCCAAATTTTCTTATCAGCTCTATGAAGTACCTTACACTTGACATTCAATTAATCAGTGTTTAAAAAGTATAAGGTAGCTGGCGTAACAGTCCAGAAGATTTCCAGTTTGCCAAAATGTCTGCAAGCAAACAGGTCAACTGAGTCAAATTTCCAGGCTAGTCACCAAGAATGGTACACTGTCAGTGGTGAAAAACTTGAAGATTTTCTATAGCACTCAAAGGGAAAAGCTGTACACTAATCACTGGTAGAAGAGAAGTGAACAGACTGCTGAAAAAGGCTATTAAAACAGAATCAAGACCAACAGACATCTCTGGACCTGAATGTCCACCTATCAGTAACTGCAACCGCCAATCACTTTCATAGGTTAATCAGATTACAACTGCTTTTCACTCTCCAGCCCATTTTTTAAGATGTTTCAGAATTTAGCTCCACTAGTGGTTTGATATTTATTTTCACATTGCTTTTAGCTTGAAGCAGCTTCTACGCACTACTTTTGCCACCCACAGATTTTCCTTTCTGTCAATCCTGTTTTCAGCTCTCAAATCCCTGCATCTTTCTCTGTCACCTAAACGTTCTTGGTCATCTGGTCAGCACAGCTAGAGATTTATATTGCTTTGAGTGCCATGGCACTGGTCCCTTGACTTAATGTCAAAATATTATTCTAATAGAGAAGTTTAGGCTGGATCACATCCAAAGACTGTAACAATATTGTTCTTTAAGCTCAGATGTTGCAGAAGAAAGTTCAACAGAAATAACATCATATGGAAACAATGTGCCAAATAGTGGCATATCCAAAAAAGTATAAAACATTACAGACTGCATAAACAGCATGATACGTGTCCTGAGAGATGCCAAAGCACCTGGCTCCATTGCCTTTCTCTGCCATCATTGCAAATTAAAATCTAACAAAGTAAATGCAGAAACTCTTAGAGTGCTGCTGGCCTTCCATACTAAAGACAAAGCATCCACAAAGGAAGAGCATCAATCCATCAGATGGCACACAAGTGGCTTTCCTTAATTAGAGATCAGCTAACATTAGAATTGGCAAGTGAACAGAAGGCTCCACATACTGCTACTGCTTCCACCTACAACCTTTATCTCAGTTCCTCCGCACCCTATACCGACTACCTACCCCACAGTATTCTTTTTGTCTTCTTCTCCCACTCAATTTTCTGCCTGAAAAAACTCTCCTCCTTTTATGTGCCAGGTAGAACTCTCTCCCTTTCTTTCAATACTTCCTTACACAAATTCCCTCTAGCTTCTTTGTTCCACTCAGCTCTGTTGGGGGGCCTTCATTGCTATTATCTACACAGCACCACAGGGGCATTGCTTAAGTCATCACACACTTTGTCATTCCAGAAGACAAGTGTGGGCTTGAAGACCTTCTGCAAAGCACACCTGATGGGGCAACCCGATATCTCAGACCTTACAGCAAATAGCTGCTCCCTTTTAGCTGTTCATCCAGCAGTGATAACTAATTCTTCGATCTAAAATAAAAGCCTGATGGTCATATGAAGGACAGAAATTAATTCAGAAGTTTTGTGCTCCAGTTTGGAATTGTCTGTCACATACACCAAGACCACAGAAAGAGACACTCTCTTACATCAAAGGCAGCAGCATTCTGGTAATCAAAGAGCAACCTTGACAGGGTAAGAGTTAACTATGAAACAAATCTCAGGACAGGGCTGGCAATTAGCATTTATTCTAAAACTTACATAGCATTCTAGAAGCACACCCGGAGCAGCCAGGACCTGCCCTTTGACAGGTGTATGTACCAATTCACCATTTCAGGGCCTTCCAGCCTGTATAAAACACTTGGCAGCTACAGAAGAATCTCTCTGTTCACCTCAACATCCTATTAAAAAAAAAAATTTTGAAACATTCTATGGTAGTTTACTCCCAGGAGAGAATCACCTAAAATACACAAAAATCTATCACAAGCATGAAGCCCCTCAGCTACACCAGGTGTGCCAATGTTCCAGTTCCTTCACAGAAACCTGACCAACCCAAGTGTTTTTATATTACTGCTTTGCTTTCGAAGCATGTACAGTACTTAATACTTCTGAGGCACTTTATGTTTCCTAAGATCTATATAAACAGCAGCTAATTAGAGACAGCTAACAAGAATATCCCAAGATGCTGAATCTCAGTGTGTAGTGAGTATTTTAATTTTTTCTCCTCCCATAAGATAGGGAAAGTTAAGGATTGAAAGATGCCTAAGAGTGTGCTCCCTGAACTGTGGAACAATACTTTCAAGCAAAAGGTGCTATATTTCAAACTTCCATTCTGCCAGTGTGTAGAAAAGACCCAGGCCAGCCTGGCCAAATAGAAATGGCTCTGGTTCACTGTAACTGCTGAGAAGACACCACACACATTGTCAGATGCAATTTCCATTCACAACAGACATCCACACTGTACATACTCATCTCCTGAACTGGCACTACACTACAGCCATGCCCCTAGGGGCTCTGTTCTGAGGAAAACAACTGAAAAGGAACTGCTAATCCCTTAATTAGTGGCATCCACTTCACCTTCTGCAGGAATAATTTAGAAAGTCTGAATAGGCCACATGTCACACAAGGTGAAAATTTAATAACTGGAAATGACTCAGGGTTTCAGTTCATTTCTCTGTACCTACATCTCAGTTGGGCAAGGCTACTGAAGGGAACTACTCAGTGCCAATTGAGAACAGCTTCACAAACCACTGATCACTCACTGCCTCTTTCAAAAGCCATCCTCTCTCAAATTTCTGATGGGAGCTGCATTACACCAGGCAAGATCCTAGGTCTCAAGCACAGCTCCAGGAATACACAATTAGGGCCATGTTCCCTTGAATTTTCATAATGCTCTTGTTTAAGCCACAACAGCAAGGGGATTAACTGTACTTTCCTGGCTGAGCTACTTGACTGCTTGCTAGAAAAGAACTGAAGCACAGACCGTATCCACCAAAGATGCCTCTTAGGTCTCATCATCCATTCTGCTCCCTTCCCCAGACCTCCCACATAATGATTGCATCATGTAAGAGTCCTAAAAAGCTGTCCACTGGATTATGTCAGACTCCACAATACTTATCTCTCTATCTTGGGATGCAAGTGGCATGAACCAGACTATCTACCATCAAACTCAAAGGTCAAAGTTAAAAGCCTCTCTTCCCTCACATTGACATTTCAAGGTTGCTCTCCTCAGGAGCTGCACACTATTCTATCTGTGAGCATCTCTTAAAGGAAAGGAAAAGGAAGGTCCATCTCCCTTTACCCAAAAGCCTACCTCCCTTCTACTCACAAATATCTGAGAGAGAAACACTACTCCATAAAGCATCTCTTCATTTTCTCCAATCAGGCAAAGAGGGACTCAGGTAATGGAACAGAAAAACAAAGACATTTGGGTACCATAGTGAGAATGGACAGACAAGAAAGTAAATTAGCTACCATTATGATAATGGACTGGCTTTCCAAAGGAAGCAATTTGCACGTAGCAACTAAGCAACATAAAGATGCTTTAACAGAACTGCTGCTTGCTTTTGAAACCTGTAGCAATGGAATAAGCAGTCACAGCCACAAAACAACCACCACTGTTAGTTTTTCCTATTTGACTGTCTCTGCAGAGGCCAAGTACCTGACCAGAGCTCCCTCCAAGTGTAATGAAGCCTCACTCTGCATTTCTTCTGGTAGCACAGCAGCTTGTGCACAATCTGAATGCACCGTCTGGAAAAGAGAAGGTAAAGGATTAATGACATTGCATCTTCCCACAACTCTACATCAAGCCTGGAAATATCCCTGAAATCAGCAGCATGGAAATGGACAAATTCTAAGACTATCAGAGGAGGATGGGAGTTGTGGCTTTGGCCTCCTAAGAGGAATAAACACTCACAAATAAAGAACCTGACAAAATGAAACAAAGTCACGCCAGTTAAACTCAACAGGATTGTACTGACCACAAATGCATGTTTGCTGTTCAATAAATACTTTTCACTCTTTGCTACCCTGACCTAAGGGCCTCAAACTCTACAAAATGAGTTACTTAATTTGCAAGATACATATATGTGAAATGCTGCAAGTTATTAAAGCAATGAAGCTTCTCCGTTTCTCTGGCTCCAGTGATGAGGAAAAAGGAAATGAGGGTGTGAAAACTACAGGATTTTCAGTTTGACTAAGGTGTGTGGTTTAATTACATTAAAAAAAAAAAATCTACCAAATTTTCCAGTCTCCTTAAAAAAAATAATTTAAGTATGAGCTTTGAAATATTCATGTAATACACATGCAAGCTCTGAAATGCCCCAATATACAGGTAAGTGCACTTGTCAGGTCTCCAAATCCTCTAAGTCTCAATAGCATCTAGTAGTGCTCATACAAACTCTTAGGTGCACAAACATTCTTCACAAATAACATCCAAACTAAAACTACAGTACAATGAGTAAATTCTCTAACACTATCATTAAGGACAAGACAAAAAATATATACAAATTTGAATGTGTTAGGCCAAGCTATTTTTAGCTATTAACATGAAGAATAAATAGAAGGAAGACTACAAAAAGTAAAAATCCATTTTTCCCCAAATCCCTATTTCTCAAAAACACATTATCTTATTAAGACCCACATCTTTCTGGAAAGACACTGATGAAAGACACTGCATATCAGATAAACACAGAGAAATCAAATTCTAAAATTTTGCATGTAATTTATTCAAAATGAAGTGAAAAGTTCAAGACAAGGCCTTAAAAACAAAGCTACAGCAAACAATGAGCTGTGGTATACATTATTCTTTTCAGACCCGTAGATAATCCCAAAAATACCACAACGAGGTAGGAACTGAAACTAACTTTGACTAAAGGTAAAACTATTTATAATCACTGAGCATGACATTTAAGTGCTGCATTTCAAATTTGATTCTCATAAATTCAACCAAGAAAAGGAAGCTAACCAACTAGGATAGACAGCTGTCTTCAGATCAGGAACAGCAATCCCTATGGGGAGAAATGTCCTACTCCTGATGTTAGTGGTACAGGACAATGCCCAGCACCTTTTCACCTCTGTATCTGCTTGGCTGTAAGTCACATTATTAAGTTATCTAACCTGGTGGGGCGTCTCTGTTTTTTAAGTTTTGTGCTGAGGATTCATAATACACATAATGGACAAAAAGTATCCTTAGTCTAAGCAACCTGGATTTCTCTTTTAAATATTAATAAGGCCAGCCTTGAGCAGCTTCATATTGTCACCTCTTAAATGTACTGCAGAGAAATATGACACTACTTGTGCATTCCGAACACCCACTTTGTCTGCAATAACTGTGTCTGCTATGGGATGGTTTCAGACAGGAGTACAGTGAAAAGACTGCACAAACATGCCAAAAGGAATGGAAACAAATATCCACTGATGGATGCTACCGCTCATTATTTCTGGTGTTATGGGGTTTCTAGATGTGATGCTGCTTTTGAGTCCAAGCATTTCCCACCTTTCTTGTCAAACTCCAGAGCATTACACCCATTTACAAATAGTTCAGCAATTGTCATAACAAAAAATTCTCACAAACTCAATTGAACTGTGCAACCCTTGAAAAGGCACTGTAATTACAAGGTTATTTGGGCAAAATCAAAATATGCTGAAAAGTTACCTTAAGGGAAAGCATCCTATGTGTCTTTATCTTCACTACAGAATATAGTGCTGTTCACGCCTTGGGGAAATTCAGCACTGTACAAACAGTCAGAGCAGAGCCAACAAACTGTCTGAATTCTACTTCTATCCTCCAGGCTAAAGCAGTACAAAGCATTGAAGAGGCCCCTGTGGGACACATGGAGTGCTCATGAGTAGCTCTGTCCTCTTGTCTCCTTTTGCCCATTGCTAAAGTTTTGCCCCTTCCCGCCTAGCAGGCTATTTCAGGCTTAAACCTCCCTCCCTCTCCACACTGCCTTCCAGGCCTCATGTCAGTCATCCTCGCTTTTTTAAAACTGTCTTTTCTGTTTCTAGACTAAGATTCATCTTCTGGGAAGTGGGGATTGTTGCAATGACTCTGTGTTATGAAACTTCTTTTAGACTGAAAAGCTCTTTGTGTTAGATCAAGTAGATTAGGAAAACAGTCTGAAATTGAATTGCTTTCAATTTTCTGGCAAACAGAGGATTTTTGAAGTAGAAAAAGTTACTGGAAGAGTTCATGAAAAGCCATCCTGCTCCCCACCATCCACAAAGTGTTATTTCAGTCAGAAGATTGCTCTATGAGTAGGATTGTACCTAAATTCAAACTTCAAATGAAATCACAGTGAGTTACCCCACAGACACTTACACATAGAGATCCATAGGAAATTCTTTCATCATGTGTGTTACAATGAATTCCACCATCAAATCTGACAGAAAAGAAAATTATAAAGTAAGCATTGAGCTGGCTACTGTTAACTTTTAGTAGACTACAAGGAAGTCAAACTGCCCCACCTACCTATCTCTACCAGACAATAGTCCTGCTTAGATGAAAGGGATTTCACTTTTTTGTTTGTTTGTTCTAAAGAACATTAAACATTTGCTAGAACTAGAAAAGAAACTACTGGAAACTGAGGGTACATACTGTAATTTGCTCTGAGGCACTGCTTTCCCCACACGGTTTCCCCCACTATTAGTCAAATAAAGACTATACCATGAATTCTGATGTTTAGAATTGCTCTCATATTTCAAGCCCTGTCACTAATGGAAAATTCCATTAAGAAGCACATTTTAGAAAATTATTCTTGCCAGAAACAGTGCACAACATAGATGTTACTTAAAGAAACATTTTAAATAACACCTATTTTTCCTAAAACAAATTCTGAAGCAAGTAAAACTAGCTTGATCTCAACCCAGGCTAAGTTTCTCCTTAAGACTAATTCAGGGGAAAAAAGAAAAAAAGGAGAACATGTCTAACATTAAAGGGCTTCCAGTGTGAAGATAAGAGGCAAAGAGCATAGAAATACAACTGAGAGAAAGTAATCAATGGTAACTGAATGTGTGTGGGGGGTATGTTCAACCCAATTTCAGCATGAAATGCTTATACCAAGCCACTGGTAACAATTTTGAGCTGTAACCTCCTAGGGCAGTAGCAGTGTGCAGTGTGACTCAATAGTGACTAAAATCAGTGTAGGTGAAGAGTGTATGAGATGTGAAAGCTCTAGAAAGATTCTTCACACAGCTGTTGTGTCTTGGCTTCAACAATCACATTTGAAAATGCTGAAGTCTAAGACTGCTTCTGTACCATCAGGCTGAACACTGATTCGGGGATCCAGGCTCCATCCATTTCTGAACCCGTGTGTGCTTCTGGCCTCCACAGAAACGAGAGTCACAACTTAATCATGTGCTGCATGAAAAGCTTTCAACTACGCCTCCATATCCAGAGGCAAAACCAATCCTAGTTACTAACATTCCTGTTGTCTTTTGGCTCAGAAAAGGCTCAATGCCCAGCAAACATGTTCACAAATGTTTTTGTGAACCGTAGGTTTGCCATCATCATATCATCTACAAAGTACTTGTTGCTGCTACCACACTCACCTAAACACTGAAACCACTGCCTTCCCTCTTGTTAAAAACTCAATCAAATAGGCCAAGCGGTGTCTGCAAAACTTTCTGTAAATGTTAACAGGATTTATTGCTAGAGAGCTGCAATCTTGGATTTGTCTGCAAGGTAGGCAAGTACAAAGATGGACATGGATTGCTGGAAACATCTTTAGTATGTTATTCTTCTTTCAAAGGCAATCCACTCCTCCATTCAAACACACAAAGATGAAAAGTCAGCAGAAGCCTGAAGTAACAGTCTGTGCATTACTGCAATTCTCAAGAAAACAGTACCATCACACTTTTGTCGTCATCTCCAACTGCCATTTTACACATACTAACCCTAAAGGCCATGGCTGGAGCAAAATTGTGCCTGCTTTCAGCACGCCAGTACTGGGGGTTTGTTTCTCTGTGTAGCTGGCGGACACTCTTCTACTGAGGGGAGGGACCCCAAGACAAAAACAAATCACACAGCAATTCCTCCCCCTTGGTTAACATACTTACTTGTTTCTGACCCAGAAGTCTGATTGGCTGATTCCTAACAGTGTGCAATCAATGGCTTTGGTGCTCATTGTAACAGACCAGAAAGGCTAACTGGATAGCAACTCTGCTGTTAAGGGATAATGACTAGCACTCTTACAGTATGGTCTCCATAAAGTAAAATGTTTGTTTCTTTCTTGAACAGTGAGTGACTTTCAAGTGCTGCTTCACTGTCAGATGAGGTAGAACTTGCCAGTACCACAGAGACAGAATGCATCAAGCTAGGATAACCATTCAAGTTACTTTTAACTACAGAGCTTCCCGAGTCAGGTAAGGATACTTCCACCACAGGAAAAAGTTCTGGAAAAAATACTTTACTCTGTGAAGGTGAATTACGTCTCCCAGAATGAAGTGTAAGCCAAGTAAAAGCACTCAGTGTAACTCCAGCTGGCTATTATGTATCACATGAGGGCTAATGCTTGCAGAAGATTAAGGCAGAATGTTCTCTCTACCACTGATTTCCTCAGAGACCTCGTAACACACAGCTTCTCACCAGCTACACAGGCCTCTGAATTCACTGACAGGGCAAGGAGCTCTTTGTTCTTTGAAGAATGGAGACATTCTGAGAGCAATTTCAAAATCATTCCGCAACTACTGCATTTCTGACAGTATTTCCACATGCCTTAACAATGTAGGTTAGATGTCTGTGACACAATTTTCAATATATACTTTTCATACATAGTCAAATCCTCTGTGTTTGCATTCTAAGGAGAAAACAATCTGGAGGAAAAGACTCACCATTCTGTGTAGGTTTACACGAAAATTCATGTTGTCATCATGAAGAAAAGCATTAGCATATTGATCCTATTGAAAAGGACAAGAAAAGAGAGGAGATAAGAAAAGCCCAACACCCTACAGCTGCCTTTCAAATCACGTGTTTCAGCGTAAAACTCCCAAGATACAACCATGAAGTTAAAAAGCCATCTGTCCTACTGTTAAAAAGTCATCTGTTTCTCTTGTTTCACTCATGTTTCCAGTCACACAAAAGTAAACCCCTCCTGATCCCAATTCCACTTTAGAAAAATAAATTTCTAACAAAACAAGCAGTAGCTCAGAATAACTTTCTCCCCCTTTGCTCATTTAAACTCTGGACTGTACACACCACAGTGTCACAAGTTTAACAAGTGCTCCAGGTGCATAATATAAGAGGTGGTTCTCCAGCACACCAGTTCTGTGACTCTGTGGATAAAGGTTTAAATTGTCATTTTGATGTCAGAAGCCACTGCAGTACTAGCAGATAGGTTTATGAGCTGTTCCACCCCTCAAGCAAATCTTATTCCAAGACCACCTCTAATTTAAAGAGGCTTCTCCAGATAATGCACAGCCAGAATAGGTAATAAATATACCCTCTCTTTAATGTCAGAACCAAAGAATGCCCTTGTTATGTAGGAACAGAATTTCTTATCTTGTTTTATCTATGCATCCACCTGAAGAACAAGTTCCAAAACCATTTAATTAGAAAAATTTTAAATGTAGATGATTAGTTTTCAGGCTGCACCCTGAAGACACATTATTACAGAATCCTTACACCAGCTTACAACCTCACTGCTTTTTATTTTTTAAGAATGAAAGATCGTTACTTGCAAGAAAGCAAAATGTAAATGCCACACAAACACAACCACCATTCAGCACATCAGTCAGCCATTAGAACATACTCCCCATGTGACAGGGCCACATTCAGCCAGGACTGCTGACATAGCTCTGTGATGCTGCTTTCTCACCCTACTACCACATTTGTGATTGGTCTTCCTTGTAGGGACCTACAAACACATGACTTAATTTCAGATTTGTATCCTTTGGCAAAAGGGATATGGACAGCCTGTGTTTACCATGAACAGCACAGAGCTGAAAGCCATTAGTACATTAATCATCTAAAAGCCACAACACAGGGTCACTCAAAAGCTAAGAGAGAAAAGTCTTAGGGGTTCACTCTTTTTTCTCCTAATCCCCAGGAGTTGGTTAAGTCAAATAAAATGATCCAATTTTCAAGTTTTCAGTCAACTTTAACAGTACTGCATCAAGTATATTAGCAAACAGTAAGTGTCTGAGGACCTCAGCACTCAGCAGCACTGTAGACATTCAGCTCCTGCTCCACAGGAGGCAGGGGGATAGAGCTCTGTACCCATCTGCTGAGCAGCTTCACGCAAGAAACCTACCTCTGCTATGCATGTCAGGATAATGAGGCACAGCTTGCCACTGTGCAGCCGGTGCTCATCTACAAAGGAGAAAAAACAAGTCCTCAGTGAGCCACAAGCCTAGCAAGGCTGAAGAGCAAGACAGCTGTTGAAGCAAAAGAAAAGCCCAGCTTGGAGATTCCTCATAGTTCTACTTCCTCCAGGATAGCTAATAGTCTACTCTCAGCAAGCACTCACCCTCCAGCCTGGCCACTAAATCCCACCCATTTGTCACCAGTCTGCACCAAGAGCAAAGGCTCAGATTTGAACTTCCAAAGCATTGTAACTATCTGCTGGCCTTGTCTCATTCAGTTTTACTTCCACAGATAGTCTAAATGCTGTCTTTCTGTCACAGCAAAGACACACTGTTCCCTCTCTTAGACAAGGTGGAAAGCAAAACATCACCTTTGCTGTAGGTTATGAAACAGGCAGCAAAGCTTTCACAGAGGCACAGCACTGCGCAGCAGAACAACTGCTGACATTATCATCTAAGTTCCAAGTTTTAACCCCAATACTGAGAGACACGACCTACTTTGCTCTTTGCAAAACCATGAAAGAAAGGAGTCTGCAAAGACTTCAGATTTTAAGCCAAGAGTTTCACCCTGATCAAGTTCCGTAACTTCTTATTCATCTCAGCTTCAAACAGCTTTTACCTTGAATGACAGCTAGAGCGAAACAGAGGGACTAAGGCAGAAGAATGCATTTTTTATTTGGATTATTTAAAACTCCTCTCAAGTTTAACCTTGAATACAAAAAAATCCGCAGGATACAAATAGTCATGGAGTAACGCAGGATAGAACAAACCTCTGGATCAATCCTTGCTCAAAGCAGGGCCAGGAAAGATCAGGTTGTAGAAGGCACTGTCCAATCAAGCACATTTAAAATTCTTAATTTTAAAAACAATATGCTTGGACCACACATCCCCAAAACCCACAAAAATAAACCAACAAAAAAACCACACTGACAACTAAATTCTGAGGAGGCTTAGCATTGCACATTCCCAAGATTTCCAACACCTCCTCCTCTAAAGCACAGGACTACTCAACACACCATCCCAGACATCTCTGCCTTAGAGTTAAACTCCAAGAAGAGGGATATGTGAAACAGCCAGACACACTTTCATATAAAGCAGAAGACAGCATCAGCCAAATTCCTCCTTTGCAGGTGATTTTTACAAACACTTTGTGAGCTGGTGTGTATATGGTAACTAGAAAAACAGATAGAATGGGCTTAGCTAGCTGCTCTGTCTAGTTTGATGCCTCTTTTGTTTTCTTTTCTATGCTGCTCAGGGACAGATATTTACTAAGAAGATGTGCCCTGAAGTGTGCCGATTTCATCTTGCAGCACTAAGTAAAATGAAGAGGAATTTTGGAATGGAAGAGTTAAAAGTCTCTCCTATCTCCTTACCTCAGCTAAAATGTTTAAGTGTGAAGTTTTGTACTCCAGCAAGAAGGAGAAATGACCCAGAATAAAACTGATACACAAGAGTCTTGTTATTTTTATATTGTAAGGCCTCCCTGGATATTTCTGTAGATGCTGCTACCTCTTCTCTCCCTGGAGATTATGCTGTAAAGGCTCCTGTTTCACACCATGAACTCTGCCCTCTCCCTGTGTATTGTGAACATCAGACCATTTTCAGGAGCTATGGGGCAGCTATGAAAGCAGTTACTTGCACACACCCTTCATACTTTCACAGCAACCTTCATTAAAGCGAACAAAGCAGACCACTTTCTACAGGGAGGTGTATCAGTATGAAACCTGTTTTGAAGATGGGAGAAAATGACACAGGTTTTGTTTCTCCCAAGGTAGCTGCCTCTGACTGACACAAGAGAGGATAATAAGAGAAGGATCTAGCAAACATAATCTATTAAATTATGCTCTCTGGGACAGGACCAAAACAACTGTCTAGTGCTGGATATGGAACAAACCAGTTTCCCCTCTAATTGTTCCCACCTGTCTCAAGACACATGGAGTAAATTAGAATTACTCATTTTTCTTGCTATAGTGGTGTCACATAGAAGCATAGAATCATTTAGGTTAGAACAGGCCTTTAAGATCATGGAGTCCAATCATTAATCCAGCACTACCAATCTCTGAGTAAACCGTGTCCGTAACTGCCACATCTACATGTCTTTTAAATACCTTCAGGGATTGTCACTCAAGTACTTCCCTGGGGAGTCTGTTCCATGCTTGGTCTTATAAAAGAAAAAGAAATTAGGCAGTGCTCCATCTACAAGCAAAATATAAGGTCGGGAATATACCCACTAGAATTAACAAGCATTGGTTTGGAAGACACACTTTTTAAATGATCGATCAGTGGAGCTCACTGCCACAAACTACAATGGTGGGAAGGAGGTCTATCAGCTGCACCAATTTCAGACCTTATACAAGCTAGAACCAAAGGAAAAAAAGAAAGAAAGAATCATCAACTCCTGTCTCAGAACACAATAGACTCATCTCACACTGGCTTGTTTAGTAAGGAACCCCCTCTACGAGATTTCACTCTATCTGAAACTAATCCAGTGTGGCAGTTTCCAAGACCCTGTGTAGACTTTCCACATTACAGTGGAAGTAAGTGCAGAAGTTAAACTGAAAAACGTAAAATTGTTCCATCAGACTCTTGGATCAGCAAGACTGAGAAAAGCAAATGCAAATGAGAAAGATGGTAAGCCCTCCTCACGTGTGTGATCTATTAAAATGACTGAGCCAAGATTGATGTGGTTTAGTTCAAAAGACAAAAGCAAGAGGAAACATGAAAGCAGACTTAAACTATGTAAAGGCTGACACATATATGAAAAAGAACTAATCCATTCTCAATATCTATCTTGGAGAAGATAACTAGTAATTAATTTAAATCACAGAAAAGAATTTAGGAAGCAAACAAAGCTTTCTCACAATAAAGACAGTTAAACTCTGGAATGGATAGTCTGAAAATGGCGCTGCACTACCACAGGATCTTCATCCAACCTGACAGCAACACCTCTGAGAAAAGATACAGGTAAACCTGAACCTGAGCTGTGGTTTAACCCTGGACAGCAACTACGTCCCATGCAGCTGCTCAATCACTCACAATGCTTCTCCCCTCCCCACAGAGGGAACAAGAATTGGAAATAAAAGGTAAATCATGTGGGTTGAGATAAGAACAATTTAATAACTTAAACCTCATCATTATAATCATGATTATCATAATAATCATCAGCAGAGTGAGAGAGGGTAACAGAACCAAAGAGAAGCAAGTGATACACAATACAGTTCATGATACAATTGCTCACTGCCTGATACCTATCCCCACACAATTGTCCCCTTCTGGGTAACTCCCCCAGTTTGTACACTGGGCATGACATTCTGTGGTGTGGAATACCCCTTTGGCCAGTTCAGGTCACCTATCCCAGCCATGCTCCCTCCCTGCTTTTTGTGCACCTCCTTACTGGCAGAGCACGAGACACTGAAAAGTCCTTGACACAGGGATAGCACTACTTAGCCAGAGCCAAAATATCAGTGTGCTACCAATATCATTCTCATACTGAATCCAAAATCAAATCACTGTACCAGATACTAAGAAGAAAATTAACTCTGTCCCAGCCAAAACCAGATATGGGGTGCATGAAGTTCCTTTTGGTCCTAATTTCAATTATTACTTTTTCTTCAACTACTGAACAAGAGCAAGGCAGCCAAATACAATTTCACAGCAAGCTAGTAGATAAAAGGAAACTGCCTGCTCTTATTAAATGCTAAGCATTCATGAAATTCAGTAATTGATATAACATAGCTCTGCAGATATATTCACATTTCTGTTGTTATATCTAACTTAACAGCGAAAGTTTGTAACAGGCTGAAATAGGGTGGAAAGATCACTCCTTATGTTCACACTGTGGTCCTGCCCGTATAACCACTGGGCAAAACAGCACCCTTGGGTACCCTGAGCAAGAGATTAAGCAATACTTCAACTCCAGCAAGCTGAAATTAACCCCAACAGAACCACAGGAGAAACAAAAAAGCACAACACAGAAAGATAATTTCTCAAGCAAATTACTGCCAGTGCAGTCTAAGTTGCAGCTGTCCTATTTATAATTACAGAGCTACCTGTTTAACCAAAGGACAAAGGAAATATTTCCCTCTAACGCTGAGTTTTGCCCCCTCTGTCAGTTTCTAAGTGTTCTTAAAAATACAGCTCTCTGGTCTCAGATTTCCCCTCTCTGACAGACAGTTGTGAATCAGATTTACTCACACCTTCAGCATATAGACAGGCTTGGTTATTACGTTTTATCATTTATTATTACATTCTTTCCATACCTGACTTCTCTCCCGACAGCATTAGGTCTCTCCTACGTTCAAAAGTCTTACCTCACAATAAGAAATCACATAATTTTTCAAAAAGTGAAACCTTCAATCTTTTTTAAAGAGACTCCAATCCTATTTCTGGAGTCACCAGGCACGTTCTTGTGCCCTCCTGATTTCAGAACCACTGTTTGCTGCACCCACAGAATTCACTTACCTTTTGTGTCCTGCATCACAATTGAGCTGTACTTCAAGAAGGTTATCAACAGGTTGCTAGTTTGCACATCAGCATCCAAAGGCAGCTCTGCAGAGCTTATAACTGGAACAAAGCAGATAAGACACATTTAACCTATACAAATACTAGAAATAACTATACAGAGAACTAAGACACAGACTCCAGGTCTGGAGTAGGATCAGCCTACTTGCAGGGCCACCTGACCTCCTCCTCCATGACCACCCAGGAAAGATTTTGTTATGGAGATTGGTACCACTCCCTCAGAGACCATTTCTCCTGCTCTAAGCAAGGCTGTGGTACCCTGCAAAGTTATATCCTTCTTTGTCCTGCCCCTGCTCCTCCTCCCAGGAAGATGAGCCCACTGTTTTAGCACTCATCCCCAGCCTACGGAAATCTGGATTATTTGCACTGATATCAAATTCATTCTTACAAGTAACACAGATAACAGTCACACAATTCTCATTTTGTAAAGAGACGTGCCCAGGAAAGGCCCTTCTCTGTTTCAGCAATTTTGAAATGTTAGTTCCAAAAGGTCTGTGTCAATTCCATTCTTCCCTCTCAACAAGTTCCTACTGCAGAAGCAACACAGAAGGCAAAATGTAACAATTACTGCACAACCAAAGAGATAGAAAAGGAAGGCAGAAACAGAAGCTTTATAAAAACAGCAGCTTTATAAAAGTCAAGAAGTAAAAGTAGTCACAGCTTGTGCTAGATACATCTCAACCCAACAGGGAGCAGAAATGTTCCTTCCATACCCACTGGCATTTCTCTAGGACACCAGCTGTACTTTTGACACCTCAACAGTGGACATCATCTGCCTTAGACTTTACAAGAAGCTACTTCATTTCCTCAGCTAATTGCACAATGTGCCTCCTCGCTCATTCCCCCACTGCCCATCTGAAGCTCTGAGTTTATGAGCTGTCAAACCTCTATCATGTGACTGAGCCACATTTTTACTGATGACTGAGCCTGAGCTGTCCTAAAGGGCCATTCTCTGCCTTTCCATTTGGAAAGCTTTGCAAGAAATATTGAAAGGGAGGACAAAGATCAGTGGGAAACATGCATCATGCATTTACCTGCAGATCCTGCCAGATAAGTCTGACACCATTTAAGATAGAGTAGCTCAGACAAAAAAAAAAGCCCCAAACTGATGTAGCTAGCTTAGGAACACATCAGTAAAGCACTTAATACAGTTATGTATAAAAGAAATTTTATGTACATCAAAGATACAATTGGAGAAATTACTGCTCTGAGAAAAATTACAGATTGAATTTTGTAGACATCAGTTTAGAGAATAGTTCTTTCTTTTTCTGTGTGACCTGGACATAAGAAACAGTTGCTTGCTAATGAACCTGCTAATGGCAGAAAGTTGGGATATGTAAACACAGAGGAGTATCAGACTGCACACAAAGAATGGGATAAAAGCAACAACAGGTAACAGAAGATGAAATTTAACAATGCAAGCCATAGGGTCAGGAATTCAGGGATTTATTTCCATGGCAAACTGAGAGCTCATCAGCTGCAAACAAAATAACACAATCATATCACAAGATGACAAGCTACCAACATGAAGGGCTCAAGAGTGTAGTCCTACAACATATATCCAGAAATACATTCCCAGCAGAGACACAAACACTGTAATGCCCTGCACAAGGTGCTGGCGAGGCCTTGTATCAAATACTGTGAATAAATATGCAGAAGTCACATTCAAAGAGGATACACTTGAACAAGTTTAAAGACAGGCTAGTGTGTTGATCAGAAGAACAGAGTACCTTTCTTGTGAGACAGAAAAACACACAGGTGAGTAAACCAATATGTGGAGAAGAGTGACCTTTGCTTCAAGGGAGGCTTAGCACCATGATAAATGGGTATGAAGACAAGAAATCCAGGTTGTGAAGTTGAATATTTCTAACCAAGGAAACAAGATGCTGAAATTGCCCACCAACAGAAATTACTGGGAAACAAATTTAACAGTTTTAGTCAGAGCTTGATAAACTCAAGGGATTGTATGATGATATGCCTGCAAGCACAGAGCACTAGGCTCAAGAGTTAAGGAGACCTTTTCCAGGTCTATGCAACTGTCCTGACATGACAATAATATGACTGCCTAGGTGGTCAAACCCACAGGTTCTCACATTCAAGAGGTCATAAATGGCTTGAATTACAATTGACTGAAGTCTCTCTCTTCTCATGCTATAAGGACAACCTAAGACAGGGCTCCCTTTGCACTGGAAACAGATCTGCAGACCATTAGTACACACATCTTAGGTATCATATCATCTCTTTTCTGCCTATCCTCAGGAATGCTCAAGGCTTTTCTCACTTTTGAGGAAAGAAAAAGGTATTCATCATGAGATTGGACCTTGTAAGAAGTAAGGAATTACACCTGATTGTTGGATGACTAGGCTGGGGACTCTGATGGGAAGTAATTTGATCCTGTACACAACTGTATTTTGCATCAGAGAAAAGTCTGATTTAATATAAAACACCTTTCAAAATTCAAGGCTTGTATCTCATAACCCTGTAATGAGGCAAGTAAGGCTTCAACTGGGCAAGGGCAGGCACAGAAGGATGAAGGAGACAAGCCAAGAGTAAAATGCAAGATTCTTTAAACCATGCGCTGAGAGGCCCAGAGTACAGCAAAGGTTCTCAGAACTCAGGATTACACAATCACCTTCAATATAAAACTGTAGCCCTTGGAAACAACAGGTCAAATAGATCAATGTAACTTCACTGTTGGAATCACATAAAAAAATCATAACGGGAGTTTTAGGTTATAAAGGTTGCACATTCCCAAGCGTGAGCTGGTTTAGTCCATTCAGTCTTGCAGATCTGGGGCTCCTGACACATTACTAATGTGTCATGTCTGTTGGCAAAGTCTGTGCCATGAGACTGGAAGCTTTCTCACTCCCAATATTATGAATAGCTCAAAGATTTAGCTAGAAGTCTGAAAAATGTATTTATATCCCCAGTGGATCCTTCTTGAGATGTTACAATGAACGTAGTGAATGAATATTTAACAACAGTAAGCAAACTGACATTTAGATAACTATGGTGACAGGCACACTTGATTTACATATTATAGATAAACAGTTTCTAGCAAAAGCCTCATTTCTGAAAAAAAAAAAAAAAGGAAGAAATCACTCTGAAGTACACATTGCTGCTTATCCTGGTTCATGATACAGACTTTTTTAACATACATTTTGAAACTTTACAAGGTCTTAATTTACACTATAACACTATAGGTTAACAGCCAGAGAAATTTCAAACCAGAGTATGAACCCATTTTTTATCCCAGACAGCATAAAAGAAAAGCACCTGAAATTCACAGATGGATTTCTACACGTTAATGTAACCTGAAAACAGTTCAACTACACTTTTTTTTAGTGCAGTAAAAAGAAAGCAATCTTCTCATTCCAGAGCTAAAAAGCCTCTTGCTAACTGGCAGCCATGGGCAAGTTTTACAGCTGACATGCAAGACCTTAATAAACAAGGAAAATTCTGACATATCTTTAAAACAGCAGTAATCAAACACCACCAAACTAAATCAAGCCAAGGGCCACAAAAAAAAATCACATTTCAGGGATCAACAAGGTGACAGCAGATAAAAATAAAGCAAGCTTCCCAATGCAAATGCTGCACACTAAGATCAGATCATTTTCTTAAATTTAGTAACCTTACAAGCCACAAGAAGCCTCAAACTTCACAAGATCACTGCCTCTGCTGAAAGCAGGATGGAGGTTTTGATTTTGTTTTGCCTCGTGGTAAATGAAAAAACAAAAAATAAAGAGTGCAAGCAAGCTGTAGATGTAGGTAAGCACACATTCTGACAGTTGTGTAATAAGTGTGGGGGTGGATACATTTGCAATGAACATGTTGAACAGAAGCCCACAAAATGCCCATCCCTCCACATTTTATGTTATATTCACACAGAGACTTGAGACATAGGGGACTCTTTATCTGAAGCTTTTGTTATCCATGGCAACCAGACAGAATTCATCCATGAGGAGGATCATCCTTAACTAGGGTATCAAATGACATGAATAGCTGATATAACTGAGTTACCCAGGCTGCTTTTCCCCAGAAATATTTCCAAACTGTGCTCTATTCAAATTGACTCTGTTCCCTCATTAAACACTCTTCAGCTCAGATGCCATTAAAGTGCATTAAAACAGCCATTTCATTTCTTCTCTTAAACTAGGCTATATCTATCCATACCTTAAAATGAAAGGGTTTTATTTTAGATGATTTCAAAGCATATTTATGTGGATACATAACATCTCATTTAGAAGAAAGATCTCAGGGTAAGCAGTCCTTTACAAAGCCTATCAAAGAAATGGCAATAATAAGAGGGAGGAATACTTCCACACCCAGACTGAATTCAAATCCCAATTAATTCAAAGCTGAGGACAAGTGCATTAACGACAAGCAGGAATCCACAGTGATTCTCTGTAAATCTGTTCCAATGACAAATAATCCCAGGCAAAGGACCTGACACTAGAAATATTCATAAGTAAATGCCTACACAGAATAACTAACGGGCTAGTTGTACCTTCATGTAGATATTGGGGCAGTACTGTTTTCAGAAGAAATATCAGCATAATTTCATTGAACAATACACAGGCAAAATAAAAATAAATTTGAGTCAAAGAATCTTGCTCGTGTTTAGTAAGACAAGTCACTCCAGGAAGAGATCACCAAGTTACATCTGCTCCAGACAGATCTCATTAGCTGCAATCTTCAGAAAACAGTTTGCTTGTTATTTTACAGTTTTAAATTATTTTTCCTCAGGAGATCATTACATCTCTTACCATCTGAAGAAGGCGGGGTGGTTCCAAGTGGAGTGACAGGTGTCATTGGAACTGGGCTCGTTGGTGTTGTCATCAGGCCCATTTCAGGATGGCTCTAAGAGAAAACACAAATGCACAGGTCAACTGCTTCCCCAGGCACTGGAAACACAGACCACTACTTGTACTGTTCCATGCTCCTGCACAATAGACATGACTAAAAAAGCTTCAAGAAACCTCAGCTTCTTCTCCAAAGAGCCTGACCATGGATCCTGACCTTGGATGTCTAACAATTAAATTGTACATCAATTTCTCTACTTCACAAAACACAAAAATACATCAGAAAGTGGTGGCTCTACCCAGCAGACAGAAAAAATGCCCTTCCCTAATGTAGAATTGGAGATTTGCAAAAGCCTACAATGTTAATAGCTTCTAATTACCCCTACAACAACCCAAGGATGTGCATTTGAAGTCTTCCTCCAAGACCCTTTCACTTCTTTTTCTAAGAGCAAATTCTCCTTGCTCCTGCCCCCCATCTGTTCATATTTAAAGAGGATGACAATTTATTACTTTCCTATCTTACTGTAAAGCCCTGCAGGAAAACAGTGCATAACATAAATAATACTATCATTATTGATCCTCTCAGCTTCCATCAGCCAGTCACGCTCCCCATTTCATCTTTGCTAATAGTTGCCTGCCTAATTACTGCTTTGACTTCACTCTTTGCAAGCTTCTGGACCTATCCACACTGGTGAGAGCGTAGGCAATCTGCCATGCTATTTTTGAGTCTGGCTGCCAAGAAAAGTGTCCATTTTATAGGGCAAGTTTTACATAAATGTATCATCTGCCTTAATATATCATCACAATTTCAAAATAAAAGGAAGATACAGAACTGCTGATTTGCTGTTAGTGCCATAGGATTTTTCACAAGTGGATATCCTCCACACTGCCTTTGAATATCTCATTTTATGAGCAAATATAAATGCATGTATTTCATGGGAAGCACAGACAGACATACTACAACTTAAAGACAATTTACATCCCTACAGCTACCAACTTACACTTTAAAATACAATTTTTCACTGAAAGTCTTACATAAGCCAGATTTCCTTAGACAGGTTTTGGGGGCTCACCTTCCTTCTCCAGAACTGTAACTGGAAGTTGAGAGACAAGAGTGCCACCCAGCAGCAAACCTGAGCACCCACAGCTGGTGAGCACACACATAATGCTCCAGATATCCACACAACTGAGTCTCTGCTCTTCCCATTCGCCACACAGCAGCAGGAAGCCATTCATGCAGCGCCAAGCAATGGACACCAGCTTAGGCAAGAGCATTCATCAGCTTTTATGAGGTTTTTTTCAACATGACATGACCTACCTCGCCCTCTCTTAAATGAAGGATTACAGACAAGCCATCCAAGAATATCAGTTCTCCAACTCAACCCACTGATCAGTGGCTGCTTCAACTATCACTTTCACAAGTAACTAGTCTATCCTTTTATTTTTAAGAGCTTTTACACTAGCTGATCTTTTTCTGCTCTGCTCTTTTCCCTGCCAAATGCCTCTCTTCCCTCAGGAATATCTTGACCACAGAAAATCCTCAGTTGGTATTACACAGAACTGCAAGAGCAGAAATCTTTGAGAAGTGGTAGGAATGAATAAACTGGGAAAAGACAAGCAAGGAACCTCAGCAAATTAACCATCCAGCTTTCTTCAGAGGCTGCAAATCTGCTTATCAGACCTCTTCTATCACCACTACTGTCAGGAGTCCCCAAAGATCTCCTCTGTCATGCCAAGTGTCTAGCCTGTGATGTAAGGCTGCACTCTGAGGCCCTGAATAAACTGGGAAAAGGTGTTATTTGCTGATGCTGTTTTTCTCACAGATTACAAACCAAAATTAAAAGCCTGAGTCTAAAGGTCTTCCTAAACACATCAGGTTGCCCTTTCAGCACAATCACTGGATCAGACAGGCTCATTATTTGCCTCCCAGCAGCAACCACCTCTCCAAACTCACACAGCATTTAGAAAAGCATCCAGAGATTTGTGATCAGAGCAGATCACTGCCTCTCAGAAAGCTGTTTCTCCACCATAAAAAGCCCAAGGACAAGTACAATGCTCCAACAACTGGTTCTCATGCCAAAGGGGCTGGGCTCTTTAAGGAAGTCTGAACAAAAAATAGTAAACTGTCACATGTCAATTAGTCCCTAAGTGAAGAACACCCAAACAGACAACACACAGTCCATGCACACCATGCACACAGAGGACAATCCATCCAATTTGGGAGCTGAATCAGCCTCTTTCTCTCAACCCTAACTTAAGAAAAATGTGATTTGCTCTGAGAGTTCCAGCAGCCGCTTTTCTCACTCCATCCTCCCACCAAGTGGACTATCAATAGGGCACAGAAGGCACTCCATGCAACCTTTCCCATCCAGTGGCAAAAATTAATCATTCCAACATGAACTGTGACCTCAAAACTCTACTCATTTACTGTGAAGGCAGGAAGTATATCATAAAATTCTTCCCCAGCCCTGGCTTGCTTCTGCTCTTTCATGCTGATCCTATGACAAGTACACATAAAGGGAGAAAAAAAAAAGAATTTATCTGTTCACCAATTCCATTACTGGTTCTCTGATTTCCTAGACATCTACTACAAAGAAATGGGGAAACATTCCACTGAAACTCACTTGTGCCAGAACTGTGATGAAATTCCTGTTTAAGTGAACAGCTTCATAGAGGGCAAGAAGGATTGCTTCATTTGTTCTGTGGGAAGGATACAGAAAAAGGCACAGTTAGTGATCAGAGTACCAGGAGCCAAGTTTTACAGAAGCATGGCCTATCTGAAAAACCAATGTTTTTTTTTTCAACTATGGAAAACTCTGCCTCTGCAATCTAGTTGATCTTCCAATTATTAGTAGTACTAATAACAGTACTAGTAATAGCAATCCATAAAAATAGCTATTTTTAAAGCACAACCACAATCTTTGTTGCCTTCCTTCTGAAGGTGTCCCTAGTTGCTCAGAGTTTTCCATTTAAAGACCTCTCTTTTAAGAGTAGAGGGTCCTAAAGACACTAAAATCCCTCACATTTATCACTTCCCCCCTTGACTTAAAAAATATTTTGGTGAGGGGCAGAGTGCATGAACCTTTGCTTCTCATGTGCCACCTCTGACACACCTATTATATGTTATAAATGCCTCAAAAACCACTGGAGTTTTTTTTTTACAGACTTCATTACAAGCAGTTTAGCTGTGTCTCCTCCTGCTGCACCCTTCTCACAGAAGGGCAAATCTACAGCTTGCAGGGTGTGGTACCATTTTAGTGACAGAAGAACCTGCTCCTCTGGTTTGCTTTGTGATATCCGATAGCTCCGTGACGGAACGGATCACACTGAACAGTTCAGGGTATAAATAACATCTGTGCACTTACTGGACAGAGATCTTCTCATCAGCATCTGCTATGAACATGCTGCCCACCTATGGAAAGAGAGAGCATTGCACAGCAGGAATTTGGGAAAGCTATTAGACAGCAATAGACAACCCATGGATACAAACACGTTTTATTTTGCTGTACTGTCACTGACCAATGCTTCACCGGACAAACCACAAAAAAAGACTGGATCTTGAATCCCAGCCTGGATTAGTTTGCCATTCTGTAAGAGGACAACAGAGATCATTTCCTATCTGCTTGCCCCAGGGTGACCACAGTTTTACTCCTGACAGACAGCTGCCAACACTTAACTACCCTTACTTACAGGAAATTTTTCTGTCACTTAGATCTCAGAACACAATGAAATCTCGGACTGAGGCAAAGCCAAACTCAACAAGGGGAACAGTGGATACTCTTTACAAGGAAAAAATTCACAACTGTTTTTGAAGGGTACCCCTTCAAAAATGCAGACAGTGCCTACTGCAGAATCCAAGCTTTACTCCATAGCTAAAGTGCACCCATGCTTGAGAAAAAAACCAGTAAAGAAACAGAACCTCACAGACCAGACTATGTGCCACTATGTTTTAGGCAACATCACCAGAGTAGCAGCTGGTTTTTAAAAATACATAGCTGTTTAGAAGGATTAAGAACTAAAAAAAAAATATTAAAAGTTTCAAATAGGGTGATTTTTAAAACAAAGCCAACTAGGGTGAAGAAGATGAAGGAAAATAATTTCAGCTATCAACACAAGAGTAGAGATCTCATCCTTTTAAAGAGCTTTCTGAGACAGACAACTGGATTCGTTCAATCCATCTCTAACTTCAGAACTCACATTCCAAACTCACACATTTTAGAAAAACTCTCCTGCTGAACTTGCATGAATGCACCTTTTTAAGAATAGAAAAGTGCTGATTCCATGCTTACCATGTTAGTCAGGGCTGAGAAGAAACCAGTCTGATGTTCCTCTTCTTTATCTTTGTATTGCCTGAACAAAAAGGGAATAAGGATGAAGTTCCAGGGTTACTTCACCTAAATCCCTACGTGTTAATCTTATTTGACAAGAATATAGGATGGAGGAAACCTCAACGTTCAACAGCCTTTTTCAAGAACTCACAGAAGAAGAGACAAAGGGTATTAAAAATTTTGTAAATTGTGTACAGTTGAAGTGGGGCTGCTGAAATATGTGAAATTCGAACAACGCTTGTGCTGTTACAGAGGACACAAGCAGTTGAGGCTAACTCTGAAGAAAAGGGAACAAGTGACTTAGGAAATTTTGTCCTGCATTGGACAAACAGTAATAAGCCACATGAGCACACAGAGTCAGTAACCACAGAACAGTGTTATTTCATCATCCACCACAGAAAAAACGAGAATTGGTCACCCTGTGGCCAACAGAAACCACATGGACCTCTATGGTTCATGGCCTGATCCCACTTTCCTGGTGCAAGTGAAGTCAACAAACAGTTTGGGTACCGCAGATTCAAGCCACACTGCTTCATCTGGCACTCAAAGGGACTAGCAAAGCTCACATGGCCATTTATTTTGTCTGTCATATGGGAATCTGATCACACACAATGTAAGATGGAAAGAAACCAACTCTAAATTCTTGGGAAAGAGGGAAGAAATTAACTAAGCAAAACAGGCCATCATCTGAAACAGCTTTTGTCAGAATGAAGTTGGGTGGGTGAAGTTTTTTTCTGCTTTACTCTAACCCTTCACCCTGTTAAATACATCTACATGATTTGCTGATCTTGTAAGTCACCTGCATAACTATCACAGCAGACTTTCAAAGGAATTACAACATTTTTCTGGATACTTGGAGAATACTACTGCACAAAAAAGTTTCTTGAGTTTCTCAGGTGAAATTGCAGTAAGTTTCCAGATTTTTCTAAAGCATTTTTCTCTTAGGAAAGCTTACATGTTTTATGCTGCTACTTATGAAGCAGAGGCTAAGAGTATGCTACCCTTTCTGTTGGCTTTCTGGTGCTTTCTTCACCAGCAGTTATTGCTTTCCACCATGTGGACACTCCTGGATACATTTGTTTGTTTTAGATAGTGTTTCAGCTAAATAAACTTTTCAGCAGAGTAGCTGTCAGCAAATTATTATCTTTTCACTTGTGACTAAGATTTTCAACATTCACACAGAGGTAGAGGTAAAATCCATGACAGTAAAAACATATAATGGATATCTTTCCCTACAGCAAAATCTCTCCCGAAGTATATCAGTCCAGCTGGTACAGATGCATTGAGACTTGCAATGACTGCATCAACTGAACCAAAGTACCTCAAACCATAAGACTATTCCTTGCCTCTCCAGGTGCATCAAGGCTGCACTGATAAACAAGTCCTTTAACACAAAAAAAAAAAGTTTGTGAAAATGTACATGTAACTATCACATATTGAAAAATAAGACACAATTTGGTTTCACCTGTTATATTCCGATAAAGCCTGGGCAATTACAAGTCCCATTCCCTGAAAAAAAGAAAAAAATGCATTTAAAGAACTTCACATTAAAATCTCAAGGGAGAAAATCACACACTGAACACACATAGCAATGCTGCCCCCCCTCAAGATAACCTAGTATGCTATGCAGAATTTCCCTTGAAGCTGTTTGAACTATTAAGATGTGCCATGATACAACAACATAATACAAAAACCCAGACAACAAAAATTAGAGTTATTTATCTAATTACTAAATTCAATGGAGAACATTTACTCTCCTTGGACCTCCATATAGAGCTCTCACTCAAGAAGCCTCAGTAAAGCATCAAGAAATTTAGAAAGAAGCTGATGTTAGAGGAAGAACATCCAAAAATTCAAAACAAAGAGTCACAGACACTAATAACCTTTGACTTCTTGCAAACAGCCTACACTATTAAAGAACTACTAACAGCTCTCACCCTTTTTTTAGCATGGAGCATGCTTTTTATTTCATGCCTAAAGAGCAGCTTCCAAGTCCAGAACTCACATAACTCAGTCCTGCTGTCAATTTTTATCCAGGCCTGGATAAAGAACTGAGACTGTGGCTACAACCCAAAATACAGGGCAGGACTCTTGACTCCGATACGAGCTTCCACTGAGTTACAAAAATTGACTTGTGGACTGATAAAATCAAGTGACAGCACTGGAAATGAGATTCCTTTTGGCATAAATCATCCTGTGTCTCTTTGGGACATGACAGCAAATAGCATACAGATAGTCCATGAATGAATAATAGATCAACTTTAGCATGTTCCTTGCTACCTAGCTTTTCAACCACCCCCACCATTTATCTGGTGATCAAACTGTCCAAATTATGAGCTAACCTATTGCAGGAGCAAGTTAGGGCTGAACAACACTGTACTGGTGGTCCTTAGAGCAGCACTGTTCCAAGACCTGATTTCTACCATACACCATGCTTGCATTCATCACCCTACACTCCATGTGAAAGACTATCTCCAGCAGCACAGAGGAATCAAAGCAAGTACTCACATTGAGCGTGGCCTCATCATCCACAATGGAGAGTTTCACAATGTAGGGATTCACTGACTGCTCAGGGTGGAGGGAAAAAGAAGAAAGAAAAATGGTTTTAAGTTCAGCCTTCAAGGGAAAAAAAACCACTATTATGTTTCCAAGTTTACCCAGCCACCTGGGAAGAATCTCTGTCCTGTCCCATAAAACAGAACACGCACGAATAAGCAGGAGTTACAGCACATGCTAAGACCACTAGGTCAGGGACATGTTCCCCTTATTGGCTCATCCAGGCAGTCTCCTCATTTTATTGGGAAGAGAGGGAGTCTCTATCCCTCCACCAGCTCATCTGTCAGTCTGGAAAGTGGAGCGGCCATCCTGTAAGCCTGTTATCTGTGACATACACACAGTTTTGCAGCAGGAACAAGCAGTGAAGCTGGATGGAGCATTACTGCTCTGCTATCTCTCTTCTGCAGCACCTTGCAAAGATGGCTTAAAGCAGCACCCACGAAGGCAGGACAACATTCTAGACTCATCTGCTGATGGGTGAGACAGCAACACCCTGTTTACACCACTAAGAGCTGGAAGTCTCTGGAGAATATAAATGCCTTGAACTTAGCTGAAGAAAGCACACAGGCTCCATCTAAAAAGACAAATGCTAATAATTTAGGAAGCATTTCAGATTAGCAATGCACATTTTTCCTGGTTTATATGTGTCAGTGCAAAACTAAAAAAGTTGATTTTGAATCAAGACACAGAAGAAGTCTCATTTGCAGGCAGGTCATTTTGCAGGGAATTGGAGCTTGAATAATTACTTTTTTTGTTAAAGAGATTAAAAAAAAATTGAATTATGCAAGATCTTTGTAAAAGAAAAAGGAAAAACACATGAATCTTCTGATTCTCCTAAGCTGTGTCTCTTCAGCACCTGTAGCTGCCTATACCAAGGAGAGGGAAGCACACAAAACTGGACACAAAGGGTTGTTGGATACACTATATGCTGACAAACAAGCACACAAAGGAAAAACTCCACCATTTAACTAATTTATTTCAGCTCTGTCTAACAAGAAATAATGCAATTCTAACAAGTTCAACATAAGGCAAACAAACTTCTGCCTAGATGTTATCAAGTACATATTCAAAAGTCACTACCTGATTTTATGGTTTAACTTGCTATCCTATCAGCCATCCCTTAAAACACTGCAAAAAATTACCAAATAAATACTTTTTCTCACAGCATTTTCTTTCTCACAGTAGCAATGCAAAAGTATTTTCTCTGAAATCAGGACTAGTATTAAAAAAATAATAAAATACAGCTGAAGGCTTGAATAAGTATATAGTTGGAACAACTTCTAAAAATTATTAGGACTTCAATCAGGAGCATCCCTTTAAAGGTTCCAAGTAAAGACATGTAAATCCCTAAAACAGAAGCTAAACAACTAGCCAAGATCTCATCAACACGGGTAACGACAACATGGAGAGACAGTCTCCAAGCAATTTGAGAGAAGATTAAAAAATTCACATCCCAAAAATACAGAAGAACATCCTGATGTAAAACACAGTGGCATTCACACGAAAAACACAAAATCATAGTCAGCTAATGAATTTTGAGCCTTATTAGATTTTCTTAAACAGCTGGAAATACAACTTAACCAATGGAGTTCAGACCAAAAGAGAACCTTTCAGCTGCACCAGTTAAATAAAAAGAAAAATCCAGAGCACCTGAGGCATGAAAGTGTGCTACAGTTCACTGACAACCAGACAAGCACCATATTGACCCTAAGGGCCAAAGAACAGCAAATAAAAGCAGCTACTGAAGGACAAAGATTATGGCTGCATTACTCCAGGCTTGGCTTGTAGCACTGCTACAAAGGGCAGTGTTGGGCAGCTGTCACATAAAACCCTTCTGGGAGTAGCTTCCAGCCTTGCCAGAGGAGCTGCTTGAGCTGAAGTTCCCCTTGCTACATGTCTGCTTCAGTTGGACCGTATGGATTGTGCTTTTCAAACATCAGCACACTTCCTTAACAGTGCCTGGTTTCAAGACATCTCAGCCAGTGTTCTCCAAAGCACTCAACCCCAACTCGGTACTCCCCAGAAAGCCACTGCAAAGAGCCAAGGACAAGTCTTGTGCACTCACAGCATTCTGCCTTACTAAGGACATCAGCTACAGTCCACAGGGATCCATGCCTCAGGGATGGGATTACACAGCTCTCCACCATTTGTCTGAATGTTGCAGTGAGACCTCTGGTCTTCCCAGTCTGCCCTCGTAAGTAACCCTACTTATAGATAATTCCAAAGAGTGTCCCCTCATAGCCATTTACTGAAATCAAACTCCATGTTCCTGTTCCATGCTACCACAGCACAGAATGCTGAACAGAATCTGCAATTCATGATTCTGACACCACTGACAGGAATGAAAAACTGACAGGCATTCCTTTGACACCAAGTGTAGTTCCTGTGCTTGCATATTCTCTAGGTCTATTCATAATTCAGAAGAAGACCTATTATAAAACCAGGTAAGTTTTGAAACCTGCTTCCTCTTAGTAATTCTGTTGAAGGCTGGGTTGTTCCAGAACTTTCCTATTTGTTGCCTAATGAAGTATATTAAGATATTCCTATTTATGAAGAAAAAAGCCCATGATCAGTAAAGCATCATGCCTCACACAAAGAAAAGCCAACCTTAGGTGCTGTTCTGACATTCAATTCTTTTTTTTTTTTTTTCCAAGCTGATGAATAACAGAAAAAAATGGGAATATACCATAAACATAAAAAGGATGACGAATAAAGTTTCTCAAAGAGGAATCCATCAAAGAGACAGAGACAGACTTCTCTTGGAACTACTAGCTGTGATGTTTCAGTTCATTCTTTGGTCACAGCTTCACCTTCTCTTCTGGGGATCTGTGCTCTTTCAGTCAGCTAGTCATGTTCTGAATCTCAAATTCAGTGTGAAGCCCAGGATGACTGGCAGTTCATTTTACCTTGGAGATTATGTATAATCACACACTCACACACAGAGGCTGACATGCGCTTTGGCACAACAGCAACTCTTCCAAAAGGACCTTCCTCAGACTACTTCCACAAAGGAAATGCAAATTCCCTAGGCAGTTTCTTTCATGCTGGCACAGAACAAGCTGTAGGAATATCATACACATTTGATTACACACATACATCAGAGACAGACACAGGGAGCATAACAGGGCTGCACTGCAAAGTTTCTCCTGCTCGCTGCTGACACCCTGATGCTACAGTGTGCACTGCTAAAAACTGTAGTGTGTGCTGCCTTCATAATCCAGAGGCCACTCTAAATTAATCAAGTAGAGAGAAGTGATGTTTCTGTTACCCAGAACACCTACCTCATACTTTCTGTAGTTGACCAGCAAGGCCAGAAGGACCACAGCATCATATCCATGTTCCCTGCGACTAAGAGGGCTGGACAGGATCTGGAATAAACAAATCACACTGTTCTGTTCAGACCTGCTTCAGGAAGCTTGCAGTGATTCACACAGAGCATAGCCACGAAATGTATCTGTAAGAACAAATTATGTCCTATCTGAAAGAGGATATTTAGGGTAAAGGGAATTAGTTAGTACCTCAAGGAAATTCTGCACACAGAGAAGCTTATTTGTCACAGAAAATATGCACACAGGCTTTCAAGACATAAAGGGCAAATATATTTCACAACAGTATTGTACAGTATCTCAATGAATCACCAGCATTACCTGTGCAAGTGTTCTGGGTTTCTCCAAGGCTCAGTTCCACTGAGAAAAGTATAATTTATCCAAGAAAAATACTTTATATATCCACATTACCTTTTGAAACACAGTTTCTCCAATACAGGAGTTCTGTGTGAAATTAGCCCAGAAATCTGTTCAGACTCTTAACTGTGCAGAAATGTTTCAAGTGAAAATACCTTAAATAGGCAGTAGTGACTAAAAACAGCAGACTAGAGTAAAGGGGAGAGAACATTACAAAATATATGTATGACTGAGCTATGAATGGAAGCAACAACAGTGCCACTGAACTACACCACACTGAAAAAGCTGAAAAGCAAACACATTACTGAAAGTTCTCACTATGGAACAGCCCACACAGTAGAAGGAAGAACCCTTACCTGCAAAATAGCTTCAAATATGCTGTTAATCATCACATACTCCAGGATAGTGTTCTGGCTAATGTTATCTGTCACCTGAGTACAAACACAAGTTTTAAAATCTGATCCAAAACTTCCACCAATGCTGTAGCTGGTTCTGGCACACAATGGGAACAGGAAAGTTCTGCTTCCAAATGGACACATTTATCCAGAATCTCACACTTAGCAAGTCAAGGTGTGACTAGCAATAGAGCTAGACATGGAGTAAAAGAAATCTGTCCTGACTCCCAGCCCTCTCTCTGCCAAGAAGCACCACCCACGGACTAAGAGCTCCCCCGTTCCTCCACACATTGGTATTTTACACAGCTGCATGAATGACAACAGCCATCAGCTGTTGCAGGCTCTACACAGAAGGCAGAGAATGAAAAACAAGGCACATATGCTCCACTGAGAACCTTCCCACCATTAAGAGGGCAATTATCTCTTATCATAGTCAAAATAGTTCACAGCTGACCATCTCCAAAAGCTGATGATTGGCCATTTATTACAACTTCCTCATTCTTCACATCCTCACCACTCTACTCCACAATTTCTGTCTTTGCTCAACCCTTCTACCTTTCTTTCCATTTATCTGAGACTTCTTAAACATCTTTTTCCTTAAGAAAACCCACACTGTGAATCCAACTGATACTGCCTCTTGCCTTCAGCCCCAGCTGGCACACATCTTACAGGATGAAAAGCCTTTGTTAGTCTGCATTGGCATCTTGGTTAGAGCCACCATGCATATTCTGCACTGACCCTTGTTCTCATTCACAACTTCTTCCCCCTTCTTAAACTTCACACCACAGAATTCTGCTCAAGTTCAAAACAGTTCCCTCAGATGTGGCTCATAGAAGCCCCTAATTCATTATACAGCGATTAATTACTTACTGTCACCAAGCAGAGAAGTAGCTTCAGACACAAGCTCTTGAGGCTTTCAGAACCTTCTGCACAGAGAAGGGAGTCCAAGCTCTCCATCAGATTCTAAAGAATAAGAGTCACATTATTTAAAAGTAGTATTTGAAATTACTTGAAATGTTATTTATAGAAAGCTTTCTAGAAGATTCAAGTAGCAGAGCACCAATATAAAGCCATGTTATTCCAGAATCAATAACTGAGCTACTACTACTTCTCCACAGGCCATATTCATACTATTGCTTCTCAGCACTGCTTTGTTAACTACAGGTTAATGACTACTGGTAACATCATGATCATTTTCCATGAGCTTTCTCTAGATGCAGCAGCACACATCCAATTAACAATACATATATAAGTTATGATTAAAATTTTGATAGGCAAATTACTACTTAATGTTTTCCCAAAATGTACTACAGTTTGTATAGAGAAGAAAAACTGCCACTCTTGTAGAGAGATGAATGATACAGCAAGAATTCAGCTTTATCACTGGTTACTTTGTCATTTCCCAAACTCAACATCTTTACAATGAAGAGGATCAAGTAGGTTTAAAACAACCCATGTGCTGATGGAGTGTGAGAACACAGGATATGGCCCTCAGATAAAGAGAGATGTGAGGTTCAATACTAGGTGGTAATCACCTGTGACAGCCTTTTCTGACTCTAAGATTTCAACAACAGTGACTACACAGTTTGGAACTAAAGGAAAAGAATGTGCTCTGTTATATTACTAACCAACCCAGGGACCCCAAATGTCTGTGCTACTGTCAGGTACAGAACTTCAGGACAGCTATTTTTACTAAATGGCTCCAAAATTTCCCCCAAAAGCTGCAGCCTGGTACACACACCCATCTACAACTCACTGCCCTTGCAACACAGCTGCTGTGCAAACTGCTCCTCTATATTGCCAGGGCCTCACCTTCATACATAGCTCTGCCTTGTCAAAACCCACAAGCATGTTGATGATGTCAAACCCAGAAGTGGATTTGTTCTTCTGATGGACACCCCGAATTAATGCACACAAAGTCTGCAAGGGGAAAAAACAGAAGGTGAGATGTAAGGCAACACCTCCAACTCAATAGCAAAACCCACTGCATGATCCTCTCCTAGCACTGGCAGAGGCTGAAATTAATACTGCCAGCCTGGAAACCATACATTTTGTCTGACCTCTCCTCCAGCTCTGTCATTTCTAAAGGGGATTTTGGTGCTGAAAATTCATAAAAATTGGAGAATACATTTGTCCACATTCTTCTTGTTTGAGCACAAACTTCTGCTTGGTTGCCACATTGCTTTACCAACTTGAACCAATAAACTGTGTCTTTGTCAACAAGAAGAACTAACTTTCCCACCAAAAAAAAAAAAAAAAGTCTCCAAGTCTATTAGGCAGTTTAATTACTGTCTCATTCCAAGATCTTGAAGATACACAGGTATCAGCACACTATGCTTCCAGCAGACTCTCTGGAAAATTTATGGGCAGCAAATTACTCATCTGTTCTAAGAGAGGGAAATGTCTGTGGTGACTTTTGTCCTCAGGCACCTCTCAGACCTGTGAAGAGGGGAATGAGCAGGAATACGACTACTGAAGTTGTAGATTCTAGCTTAAATTCACCAGTGAGAGGTAATTAGTTTCAAATGTAAAGCTGGAGCCAAAACAGACCTGATGGAGTTAGCAGACCTCTAGAACCATACGAAAGCAAAAAGGTAACCTTTTTCTGGTTACTGTCAGAAACAGATACTGGGCTAAACAAACCCTTGGTCACCATGCTGATTCTCAAAAAAAGGATTAAGTAAGTTTTGGCTCCAGAATCACTTTCCACATTAACACAGTCTGATTAAGGGAACACTCTCCCAATTCCAGCTCAGGATGTGTTACGTGGTTCCTATTTATATGCACACAGCAGGATTCTAGTGACCTGCCCTAAGTTCTTCCAACAGTCTGGATATAAGTTTAGAAATTCAGGGCTGGTCTAAGCTGTCTGTGTAGCTATAACTATAACTTTAGTAGCAGCCTTTCAAACTAATTCTACAAATAACAATAAACTCAAGATTGTACGTCAGAGATGTAAATATTCTGTTTTAAATCAACTTTTCCCAGCTCACCGCTGGTCCAATGCCTCCTACATATGATCTCTTCAAGCCTGAATTTCATATCCTGTAGCCCTAAAGCTAAGATGCATTCTGCATACTCCTAAATCAAATGTATTCACCAAACTGTGAGAATCAGCTTGTGAATTAGTAACATCAAATATCAAGACTAAGGAGGGGATACACAAAAGATATCGAACAGCAGAGCTTTGGTAAGGAATAACCAGCACAAAAATGGCTATGAATTCTGAGTGATAATTCTTCCCAGCTTCCAATTAGGAAGTGTCCAGCTGAGGCAATTTCCTGCGTAGATTTCACACTAACTTCTCCAGAGCTTTATTTCTTTTTTGGCCCATATGGAAATTAAAAAAGGCAGCTGAAATGAGGGAGAGGAGGTGAAAGTAAAACACAAAGTTACACAGCCTAAGTACTTTTGACACCCCCCAAACCAACAGCCTGCAATGTGAACAAGCCCCTTTGTCTCCTCATTGCCATCCACTTCATTCTCCATCATCAGATCCTCTTGAATTCTGAAACCATCTATTGCTCTGCCAAGAGTAAAGAGACTGAATGTTTGGAGCCTCCACAGACAACAAGTAGCAGCTGCTCTGTAGACATCACTTCCCAGCAGCAAAGAAACGAGCACAAGGTGTTTGATACCAGCAAACAAATATATGGTCTCATCAGAAGCACAAAGATAGCATTCCCTGTCTCCCAGTGTGGTACCTGTAATGCATTCACCACTCTGATTGGGTGCTCCTCACCCAGGGCCTGGATGCAGTGCTGAAACAAGCAGTTGATGTTATCTTTTATCTTCATTAATTCTTCCCCATCCAGAGCCTCCAGCTTGCCTTCTAGATACTCCAGGTTGACCTGTCAGGTTAAGAAGCAGTTCATGCACATTATACCATCACCAACACCTTAGAAACAGAAGTCCTTGCACTGACAGTCTGCCACTTTGTAGGCAGAACAGCAAAAGGATGTTCACATTCTGTTACCTTCATGAGAAATAGCTCCTCCCAAAACCTAGGGTTGCATTTACTGGGGTCCTCTGTCTGAAAAGGAAAGGAACAGGCATGAGGGCAAAGAAATCATTCAAGCAGAATTTAAAGAAAGCCTTTTAGCATGCGTAGCTCAGAGTCTGCATCACCTGCTGGATGACCAAGAGGTCTTAAAGTGCAGAATTCTGACTACACAGATTCCCAAAGAAAAGGAGACCAACAGAAGCAGCTCTCAAGTGGGATGCCTCTGTCTATTTTCTGAATTGTTATTTGAAACATACTGGGAAAGCCAGGACTTCCCATAGATGGTACAGGTCTGGTAAGCATCAGGACAAGGAAACATTTTGGAAGAGAACAGAATACGGAGTTCTGCACAACAGTAGGGGAACCTGGAGCACGTGCCTACACTGTGCAGGCCTTACCCTGAGGGAAGAAATCCACTAAAAAAACTCTCAGCGTAAACTAAATCAAGAGAATTTGACACAACACTTTAGAAAAAAGAGATGCTCAACTCCTTACCGTGAAAATTTCATCATACATCAACACCACTTTCTCTTTCAGTGGCTTCTTGGAGGCCGAAGATTTCCGGAGCAGCCCACCTTTCTTCTCGGTTTGGGCCATTCTGTATACCCTGAAGGTAGGAACAGACAAAAAAAGCTCAGAAAACTTTTCTTCAAGGGATATCTGACCTGCCTCAACCATGAAAGACTTTTTCACTGCACTGAAATGCTAAGTCTCTCACAAGCTGTAAGTAGGGGCATTTATGACTATACCAGATAAGAAATCAGATCAAAGGACCCATCTAGTTCTATATCCCATTTCAAAGACATGCAAAAGTCCACACACAGGCAGAAACAGAATAAGCTCCTTATGGATAAATTTTTTAATTCTTCTCTATTAAAAACTGTCTCATTATCCAGACCAATGCAGTTTACATCTAAAAAAACTATATATTTTTTAATCTCACTGGAGGAATTGTGATACTTCATATCAAATAGGTACTCAGTCTTTTTTCATGCTGGTCAAAGGCATCTGGTGACAAGAAGCTCCTGAAACTATTTCAAAGTCTTCTCGTATCTCGTATCTGCCTAACAAAGAACTTCAAATTCTGCTTTTGGACTCTGAGGTGGCATCCAACACTAGGAAAGCCTCCATAAAGCACTCCTGCCACCCTTGTTCACATCTACCTCTGCACCTTAGTATCCTTATCTGGGCCAGCTACTCTGCAAATCAAGCCAGAGAGGAACCCAAACTTCAAAAGCATCCCATGTGGTTCAGTCTTAGGAGGAGGATGGAAGAGAGAGGACAATCTTTACAGTTTGTTTTTTTTTAAACAGATGAATTTCATTATCCATTTGACAGCAATGGGTTTTCTAAAAATGCAAAGAAGTTTTGCTATCATTAATTGGTGTGTTACAGATGATACCATTTTAAAAAAGGTTATATCCTTATTGCAAAATAAGCCATAACACAAAGTAATGTGGTCCTGAGTCTTCTCTGAGAGACAACCCACTCCAGGGGCTGAGTCAGAACATGCAACTTGCCACATATTCTCAACCTCATATGTGATGCTACCAAGTGCAGCACTACTCTGACCTTGCAAATACACATTTATCTGCAATCACAGATTTTCCTGGCAAGCATCACAGCTTTAGTACTGTTCTAACCCCCTCCACCATTGCAGCATGTCAGAACTACTTAGCAGGAAGGGAATACCATCCCTTCTCATACTCCTGAGCTCCTAGCCTTTCTGCCATACCTCCAAAGGTAACTACATATATGGCAAACAGCATACCACACACAGAGGCCTGACTTAAGTCATGCTCCAGAAAAACATGGGCAGGCTGTTGTGGTAGTTGCACTCAACCATGGTAAATTATGCATAGAGAGGTGAATTCACAGTTTGAATCTACGATCCCAGAGCTTTCTGAGCCGGCAGCTGTGGAGACAGCCTTGGATGTAGCCTCAATCCCAGACTGCCTGAATCCCCCCCCAGTCACAGCAGGTTTAGATCTGTCTTTTCCTCAAAGACCAAGTTCCATCAACTACTGAATACCAGATCCAGATCTCCTTTACATTCTTTGTCTTCTTCCACTGCAGACAATTTTTAGCTGACTTACAACTATGTTATCAACTAGGACAATCAGGCTTACAGATTCAGTTATTCAAATATCCATCCCTTTAGCCAAAAATCTTGGTTCTAAGTGGCAGAAAAACATTTTTAGGCCTGGAAAAACAATGCTGCTGCAAAGACCCTACCTCAGGTGCAAAGGGAATGAGCTTTGCCAGGATGGGAAAGGGTAGGACAGAGAGCAGCAGATCTCACACCTGAAAAGCTAATATTAACATAGGCAGAGGGATGTTGTCTTCCCACTAGAAAGGGAACCAGCTGGCTGGTTATGGGCTGGGGTGAGATAGGAAAGAGCCCTGAGACACAGTGACAGAAGAAAGCTTAGCAACTACTGCACCATCTGTAAAGACCAAAATTACTCCCACAGCATAGTAGGTCTATGTACCCAACTAAGATGGAAGAAGGTTTCCAACTAATAAACAAAAAAGAAAACATTATTCAATCATCTTAACAGCTTCTCTATGACAGACTTTGCATTATTTTTAAATTGTCAAGGGAAATAAGACATTATTCTAATTAGAAACATAACTGGAAACACTGAGAAAGCTATTAAACACCAACTCAAGAGTGATGTCACTTTGAGTCTAAGAATACAAATCTTGAGTAAGATTGCACAAAACAATTTTCCTACTAGAACTGTAAGTTTCTGAACCTTAAACAGCTGCCAGCCCCAGCATACACATACATCCATCAGTGTGCTTCTAATTGAATTACAGCTAACGAATCCCAATGTCAAAACTAATAAACTAACTCTCAGTGCTTCTAGGTCAGCGTTCTCACATCAAATGTGTACGTGAATGGGAGGGGATCAATAAGCTCTGCTTAGTCCCTGGATTTTCAGAGCTGCATTTTAACCCTTTTTCTACATTTCCAGAAAGACAGAAAAATCGAAATACCTCAAGATGCAAAGGGTGAGCACTAGAAGGATCGCACAATCGTGTGAAAATTCTAGTCTCTGTTAAAATCGGTCTTAGGATTCACATTCTCTCCAAACCAAAGTTGCACAGAGCACATACAAAGACAACTGCTAGAGGCAAGGATTAAATAATGTTCTTGTTTATAATTTGCTATTCTACAAATGAGCATATGGAGGAGCAAAGAGAGAAACGTAAACCTTGTCTTTCATGCCAATGCTTTATTAGGCTGTGTTTGTTTCATGACCTATGACGATCAGGTCATACAAATGTTTTTTTTGTTTTCACTTTATGCAATTACATTTTCTAGATGTCATAAAGACATAACTGCATTTTGCTAATTGAGACCTTCCAGGCAGCTGCAGAAAACAACAGTTAAATGCACAAAACATTTATAAATAAGTTGTAGAGATGTCAAATTATCATGGTGCCATGACAGCTTATAAAAACAACAACACTGACGATAATTAACAATTTTCCTTTAAACATCACATTTAAAAAGCATCAGTGCATTTTCCACATTTTAGGTTCAAATGGATAATTTATTCTGTCAATAGGTCATTCCCATTAACACATGCTGCTAAGTGAATCCTGCTGTATTCACTGGCTGCATGGGAAACTGCCCCTCAGGGCCAAGAGAAGCACACACATGGGGATTTTTAGAACAACAAATGCTTTGCTGTGCAGCAGAAGATCCAAGATGCTTCATCTGGAACTAAAAGAAAACTTGACAGAGCATGAGTCTTGGCAGCTCGAAGGCAGGAAGATAAAAGCCATGGCAGACACAAGTTCAGGCAGACTCTTGCTTTATCTGTCATCAACCCCAGGATCAGCTGACCCAGCGAGGAAGAGATGAGCACATCCAACCATCCACCTCCTTTCTTTTTCATTCCAGAACTCCTAACAGAGATTCCAACCAAACATATGACATTCCGATGAACGCAGCTCTGTTGGCTTTTTGTTAGAGTAGCCACAGGGAAAATAAACCTGGTCTCTTGTGTCTGAGATTTACTCAGGCTTGTGCACACTGAAAACTGCTACACAATGCTCCACATTGTCACTCAGCTCCTGTACAGACTTATTAGTATTCCATAGACCATCTTTTAATAGCAAAAATATTGTCAAGAGGATAACACTAATGCACATCTACTTCATAATGACATCAGGATCCAAAACTTGTAACTTGTGTAATTTTGCATGCAGCCCATCAAGCACAGCACTTTGCATTCAACTGCCTTGGCTAACAAATCCAAAAGTTTTCAAGATTATAAATGCACATACACAACCCACACACACAACCAAACACGAATAAGTGTATTTTTTTCAGTGTGGACCCCTCACAAAATGTACTGTAACACTTCTTGGCTAGACATAAACAATACAGATGACACAAAACTGTACTTTCACGTACAACTTCACTGGCAAACCATTTATTCACTACCTGGAAAAGACTGTGCAAATTATGTGATCTGTATTAGTTTGTTAATGTCAAAGCCCTGAACCTCAATCAATTTAATAAAGACTCTGAATAAGAGCTGAGATACTTCTGCTTTTAGAATCCAGTGTCCCTTGACTTGTCAGAGCTACTAAGATTGGAGTCACCTATTTAAACATTTCAAAGCCAGCAATTGCCTCCTCCCTTCCTGAGTGTATGCACCTGGGACTCAGTGTGATCATGCTTTGCCTTTCAAGGTTCCGCAGGTACATCACTCAAGATTAAAGGACAGTTGTTCAAAAACTGCCTCCACCATGCAAGAGGTAAGGATAAACCCCTGTCTGAAAGTTAACACACAGCTTCTAAAGCGATGTGTTATAAGCTAAGTACTCATTAAATTCAGTGAAGTACCAGGAAAAACTTGCACTTAATCCATGTGATGAATCTGCAGAGTAAATACAGGACCTGAACAACAGGCAGCTGCAACACAGGTCCCAGTTGTCCATCACTAGAAGTAACACACAACCTGCACCCAGCACAAGAATTTATGAATCCCTGTGCACAGGAAGTGCCTGGACCCAGTTCTCTGTTAAAACCCCCAGGACCATCCATCAGCAGCCAGCAGACCACTACTGAAAACAAAGAGAGCAAGAAAACACAGGGCTAGATTTTGTGAAGGCTTTAGCAACAATCATGGCCAAATTACTGCCATAAGCCTTTTTGCAGCTTAGTCTTTACAAACTCTTGCATTGGCAGTTACAGCTTGTGCAAGCATATCCACACTGCTTTTACATTCCATCCATTGTTTACAACTTCATTTGTATATCGTCCATTGGAATAAAAGCTGCTCAAATTGTTCCTTCCTCTACAACTGTTAGGTGCTCAACCCATCAAGTGAAGCAGTAACACAGCATACAAGCTTTGGATCCATGCTGCAGAATTTCCAGGTGCCTTCAGGCAGTATGTAATGACAAACATATTCTGAGGGTGTGCTGATGACAAAAAACCTACAGAGGTCCTACTTCTTTTTCTGCAATTCAAAGCAACAACACCCAACAGAGTCACAGTATACATATTTTTACTAGAAATTCCTTCCATCCCACTCAGAGTATGTGCTTCTACATAGTACAACCTAAAGTTACACCACCTCTGACCTATTTTTTACCCCTTGAAAATCATGAAAAGCAACTTCCTAATGCAAATACAGTCACATGCTACCTCCCATTGCACCTCTTTTAGCAATGATATAAAAGAGTAACATTTGAGCTATGATTTTAACACTTCATCCACAATTACATTTAACTTCTATCTGTCCAGTTAAAATAACACCCAACCCATCAAATTCACACCACCAACTAGCTACGCTTCTTCCTGTCAAGTCCATCCAGACAAGCATTGCATGTTTCCACCAGTACCTGTTCACATGATTTTTATATAAGGCAATCTTTTCATTTCACCACAGTTTCTCTCTGCATTCCTGGCTACCATGACCAGATCTCTAATGTCAGAAAATTACTTTGGGTTTTCACTTTTCAAGCCCTTTAGAACCCATCCCACATAGTTTATAATGAAATATTCTACAGTGCCTTTAGACTCCCACCTAAAAGCTCATGTCACTTGCAGACCTTTTTAAATGCCTTCCTTCTGAAGAAAAACACTCTCCCTGTAACCTTCCCCTGCCCTTTCCCCATGGCTTCAGCTGGTGGTGTGGATCTAAGGCCAATGTTGAACACAGTGCAGCTGCATGACCTCGGTTCTGACTTCTGAGGTAGCTGCTATGTTCTGAGAAGCTGCACAGTAAAGTCATGCCAAGATAAGAAAGGTGGAGCTGCAGAGCAGGTGACATTTTTGAAATACAGACCATCAGCAGCACAAGTACTCAGGAGTTAAAATGCAAACATAAAAAGGTGCAAGTTAAAAAAAAAAAAAAAAACAAAAAACAAAAAAAAACCCCACCAAAAACCAAATGTCAAAAACAGGGAGCCAGAATTTTTTTTGTATAAAATATATATTTTTGTATACAAATATACAGCAACTCTGCAACTCTGAGCAGCAGAGGCTGACCCTTCCCCTCCTAAGGGATGTCCCGTATGACTGCCTGATGTGTTAGCAGGGGAGGGAACAGATGAATGCTTAGCCCAGCAGCTCATTAAAGCCTCACTGTTCCTTTTGTGCATGCTACCCAATTACTATCTAACATTTTTACAACGTATATACCCTGCCCACAGTATCTCTCTGCACACAGAAGTGCCATAAATGACACAGTGGATCAACCTGTCATTACTGGAAAGCCAAACTGCTGTCCTTTCCTCTCCTCCAAATTCCTGTTCTGCATTTTTGTCACACTTCCTACTAAAGCTCAAACAGCTGGTGAACTGCAATCACCACGTATCGCAATGATTCAAATTATTCCATTGCTTTGCATATTCCACCCACCTGCTCACCCTAATTGGCTCTCATCATACATTCAGATTAGATTCTCTGCTGGAGAAGCAAACTTTGTTACAGCGACATACGCAACAGGGTTTGACCGAGGCCGCAGCTTGCTCATGCAGCAAGTGCCTCTGCCTTCAGCACAGCAAACACTGCGAGCTCCCGCTGCTTTACCACTGCCTGCTCTTCCCCTTTTGCCCATACAAGTGTTCGGAGAAGGGTGAGGTAAACCAGATAACTGGAATGATCAGCGAAGGCTCGATCTTTTCCTAGGAGTTCTCTCGTGCCCCGACCAGCCGGCAGCCGGGGGCCGGTGCGGCCCACGAGCAGCCGAAGGGCTGGG